TGCAGCCTGTACGGCCACTAGTATTTATTATCTGAATGTCTTTGCATATACCAGGTTCCCAAGATCTTTGCCCAGTGACATGCTGGAACCAAAATATACAGACTTGTAGTGCCAGATTCAGAACTCCAGACTTTAGAAGAGACCCAACAGCTTTGCTCTGGTATAAGCTCATAGCTTTCAAACAGATTTCAGAGCGGAATTTACTACAGGGGTCCTTACTTAGGAAAAGGCTAAAGAAATTTAAGTTTAGAGTTTCGTTGGAGGCAGAAATACATGATGAACGGCCGCATGAGTCATTTAGTCGACCAAACATGCATGGGTTTCACAAGCCCCTGTGGTTTGAGTTGGCTTATAATCCTGGAGACTGTCTCTTCAGCCCAGCCTCTAGCTTGTCTTGAAGTCATGCCTCTTGGTTCCCCACGTGCACCCAATGATTTTTCATCTCTTTTCTGTTGTAATGTGTGTGTAGCAAGGTTTTCATCGTTTTTTTGGATATTGGAAAGCTTGCAGTAATCAAATAGGGCTTGCAAAACTCCTGTCCTTCTCCTTCCATGAGCTCTTGCTTTAGGATTCACCTTGGCATGTTACGTATTTATTTCAAAATGCTAGTGGTAAGAAAGAAGGGATTTATGTAAATTCAGATCCTTCATAATGCAACAATTTTGTGTCACCAGCAATCTGAAATGGGTTCTGAAAGGGGTAATCTGCTTTGGAGTTCAACCTACCCCATCAGCCCCACATCTCTCTCTGTTGTCTCTTCACACAAGCAGGATTCACACCAGCATTAAATAGATACCTTTAAATTCACAGCAAAGAAAACTTTGTAAGGTGTAGCATTCTTCCTTCCCCATGCAGTGCTGCAGCCTTCCTCCTCGGTGTGAGCTGCTATAGGATGGCTCCCTCCCATAGTCCATGGCTACTTGTCAGCCAGAGACCAGCTTCAACTTTGCGCTAAGCATAATAGGACCTTTCCTCTTTTCTCCTGAGATTAGGAGATGAATTCAAGCTGGTCAAACATTATGGCCCCATTTCAAAGACTGCCCTGGCAATGACTGGTGGAGGTGATTCATGTGACATGTGTGGCACAGCGTAAAAGATGCTATCTTTGAGATCTCAGGGTGGTCTGATAGTGACCTCCTCCTTTCCTGACTCTACTGTGTGACCTGCTCTGTCACTATGCTTCAAGAATAAACCTGCTCTCTGGAAAGTGCCATCAGCTCCAAGAACAAACTATGCTGCGCAGCAGCTAGGTCCTAATGATTTTCCTGTGCAATCCCTCTTTCTTGGCCTTGAAAGGTGAGATTTCTGAAGATGCCCTGGACCCTGCCATCTGTCCTCTTGACATAACACCAGGATAGCTGGCTGGTATAACCTTTGTGGCAGAGTATGAAACTACAGATGACGAATCCTGTGCCATCTCCAGCTTCTGACGCGAACAGTGAAACTGCAGCCAGTGCTGGAACGCGCTGACTGAAAGCAGTCGTGGGTTTGCTTTACACAGACCGTGGGGTGAGGACAGCACTGGCGTGTCGTGTGGAAGGGGTGCTCCAGAGCAGCGGTGCCAACGAGGCACGGAGGGACTATGCATATACCAAGAGGGGCTGCCTGCTGTGCAAGGCACTTCCTCGCCAGCTGCTGTGCGTCACTTCCATTCCTTGGCACCGCATGATCCATTTCATTCCTTTCTGTTCCCTTAGACCGAAAGCCATCGACCAGTGCTAAGAAAAAATATTTGCAAAAGAAGCGCAAACAGAGCGCAGCAAACAGAGGCAGTGAACAGACGCAGCAGTTTGCGCAGCAGTGTCTGGGCTCTGCTTGGGCCTTTTGTGGGCCTTGTTGGAAGCTGTGGAGGCTTTCTGGGAACCCCCGAGGAACTAGACGGTGCTTGCTGCTAGCAGGAAAGGAAAACTGGGCAAGGACTGCTGCAGGAGGCCTTAACTTAACTTCTCCTGGGAAGTTCTAGCTAGGTGTAGCTGCTGCTATCAAGCTCTCTGGGTTGCCCTGGTCAGAGGGAGTTGGGGCTTTTGATTCAGGTGGCTCCTGATTGGGTGGGTCAAGCACCCTTGTGAGTCACTGCTGGGCAGAGGCCTATATAAGAGCCAGGCCCAGAGTGCAGCTAATAGAGGCAGTGAACAGATGCAGTAGTTTGGGCAGCAGGATGCCAGAAGTCAAAGGTGGCACCTTCATTTTCCGTAGTGGTGTGTCCTTCCCCAGGCATGGTCATGACATGCTGCAGAATATGTTCCCCAGTGGCTGTTGGAGGTGCTGCATCACCTGTGTCTGAAGCTTCAACCCAGACAGACCCTCTGACAGCAGATGCAGCTCTACAGGTGTCAGGCTGCAGGGAGTGCCTGGGGCCTCTCTGTGAGGCCTGGGCTGATGGTCAGCTCTCCTGCAGAAGGCGTGCTGTGGTCGATCAGTTGTGTCATCAGGTAAAGGAGTTACAGGAGGAAGTCAGTAGGCTGTGTAGCATCTGAGAAGATGAGCAGGAGATTGACAGGGTATTCTCGGAGACTGTGCAGCTCCAGGAGTCCCCACCCTCCACTGCAGTGGAGTTGTTGGAGGGCTCTGTACCATGTGTAATGGTGCATCATAACACTGTTGAAGAAGGCTGGAAGCTGGTGACCTCTCGTAGAAGGAAAAAGACTCTTGCTCCTCCTCAAGATTTGCCTTTGAAGAACAAGTTTAGTGTCCTCCAAGCTGAGGAGGAGCTGGGCATGGCTCCAAGGGAGGCAACTGGCCTGGCAGACCCTGTGCCATGTGGGAACACCCAGAAGAAGCAGCGAGTGATTGTTGTGGGTGACTCCCTGCTGCAGGGGACAGAGGCACCTCTCTGCCGACCTGACTTCTTGTCTAGAGAGGTTTGCTGCCTGCCAGGGGCTCGAATAAGAGATGTCATGGAAAGACTGCCAAGGCTTGTCCATGCATCAGCCTACTACCCTCTGCTGCTCTTCCATGTGGGCACTAATGACACCAAGGGCAAATTGGATACCATCAAATGGGACTTCAGAGCTCTGGGAATGGTGGTGAAGGGTCTGGGAGCCCAGGTCATTTTCTCCTCAATCTTGCCTGTGAGGGGAAAGGATGGGAGGAGGAGTAGATGAGTTTTC